GGGCTCATTTTGCTCCTAATCAGGAATGTCAGGTTTCATTATCATGTGAGGAATTTTTATGAGTCAGCGGCATTTGTTAATGTGACAGTTGTGCTACCTGACTCCTGAGCACGCGGGGCTGACTGGAATGCTAATGGAGAGGGAAGCTGGTCTTCCTGCCGGGAGACCCAGTGCTTTGCTCCCGGACACTCCAGGTGAAAGCCAGGCCCGGCCCGAGGCTGCTTACCTGCTTACGTTGGCTTCGGGCTGGAAATTGCCGGTTATGTAAACCTGCATGGGGGGTGCCGGTGGCTCATGGTCCTGAGAGAGCCCTCCGCCGCTTAGATGCTGGGGCTGGATAACTACTGCACTTGCTCATGAAAGTGTGAAGAAGTTATTAGTCAACCTGCACGTGTAGTAAACATTATTTCAGCACTATCAAGCCGCATTATGATTTCTTACGGAATTGTGTCTGTGCCTGACTCACCCTGTGCTGTCTCCCTCACCCTGGTGTCCCCCCGGCCCCCCCACATGTTCCAGTGCCGTGTGTGACAAGCACGCAGGGAAGCAGGGGCCCAGCAGATGCGGAAACAGCAGAGGATTTAATGGCCGTGCGTCAGCACTCAGTGTGCGAAGCGGTGATTCAGCCCCTGTGCATCAGGGCCGTGCTACTGGAAAGTACCGTTTTTTGTTTTTGTTTCCAAAGGAAAAAGCTCATCAACATCTTGTGGAACCTTACTCCTTTCTGTTTTTTTTTTTAACTCCATTAACTGTACGACCTCGGGTCAGCAGTTTCTGGAGGATTCCCTTATCTAAAGTAAAAAGTGAAGGTGATGCCTGCTTCACAGGGATGCGAATTCCAGGCGGGATGTTTTAGGTCCGAAGCAGAGTGCGTGCGTGTGCGCTTGCCGGTGTGGGGCCGTGGGCTGCGTTCAGCACCGGGACTGTCCGTGGGGACGCCGGGAAGGCCCCGCAGCTGGGTCTGTGCAACCAGCCGTGGGAGCCCAGAGCGAGGAGGGCTGCTCAGCAGCAGCACGTCCAAAAAGACTGAGGGCTTGCCTCCAGCAAGTTTCATACGAGTCAGTGATACGGTGTGACTCCTCTCCAGCCACATTCGTTAATTATCGACTGATTGATGACCTACCACGTAATGGAAGTTTTTAACTCTGTTAGCAGAAACCTAACACACAGCTTCCCCGAGTGAGTTCTGCAGAGACTCGCTTGATGTCACTAGTTGCTCTGGGCAGGGGGTGGGGGTTAGATCACCGAGCACCTGTATCGGAGAATTTCCTTGGTCTCGGGTCACTGTGAACAGTGCATCTCCAAGAGGGGGCTCGGGGTGACAGAGCTCTGGGGACAGACGGAACAGGGCTGCTGGTAGTTCTGCTTGTTTCTGGACATGTCACGCTGCCCCTGCGCCACACTGCCCGCCGGGGCACTGCCCTTTGTCAGGTGTAGACCGTGGGGCCAGAGTCCAGAGTCCAGAGGAGAGCAGCCAGGATGGGGCGAGGTGTGATGCTGCCGTGGGGGGGGGGGGCACGTGAAGGGGGCGGGGCTGTGTAGCCTGGGGGGCGGGTAGGTTAGGTGTCGGGTGGAGGTGAGGGTGATTGAAAATTATCTGAAGAGGGTGGAAAGGTTTTGACCCTTCTGTCAAGGGGCAGAATGAGAGCCAGCGGGTGAAAGCGACTGGGAACCGTGGGGGACCCAACCCAACGTAAAATTCCCTTTGAAGATGGCTGGATTTTACATGCTGGCTCTGTGTGTTCTTAAAAGGCACAGTTTTGGGGTGGTGTGGAAGCGTTAGATGTTTTTGAAAAGTGTTCTTTAAAATCCCATCCAATCCCAAGTCTATAAATTTGGGGGGTTTTTTGTGCAAAATTCACTTCCTCAGCCTTTTATTTCTTTCAGCATCGTGCTCATTCCTGTGGATAATTAGAAGCATTAATAAGATGTGGTTTGTGTCATTTATTAGTTGGATGACAAGACTGATGCGAGACAGCTGTTGGCAGACTAAGACAAAATACAAACAAAAGGCTCGTTTTCGATCATCTGTAAGAGAACCACCGAGATGAGAGAAGGGGGAGACCCGAGAAGTGTGCACACCACCGGGGTTCGGAGGGCCAGTAAGGTTGGCATGGCAGAAGCAGGGGCAGTGGGGGCGAATCTGCAGTTAAGAAAGGTCCATCCGGCAGCTTTGGCAAGAGAGAAAGATTTGAGAGCTGTGCTCTGGAGAGCAATCATTTAAACCACTGGCAGCTTGAAACCCTGAGAAGATTATGGCTGGAAGGTGGATAGGGCAAGGCCTTAAAGCCCAGCGGTTAGAGCACAGGTGCACCTGATTGGAGTCCGCTTTGCTGCTCACCTGCGTGGAGAAACGGAGGCCTAGAAGTTGACTGTAAACTGGATTGTTTACTTGCCTCTTAAGATAATTACGTAATTAAGTGCTCAGTAAATGTTACTTGCCGTCATCTAGATCATGTAGCTGAAATTCCCTAGAATTCTGGAATTGTGGTCCTGGGACCAGCCACGTTGCATCACCTGCAAGCCGGTTCCAAGCGCAGTTCTTCACCTCCCCTCCCTGACTCAGCGGTCAGCGGTCAGTCTGAGGGAGGGGGGCTGCTGGGAAGCGGCCTGGGGAAGCTCTGGGGAGGGACTGGCAGGGCGGAGTTAGAGACCTGCTTTAGCACAGCGCTGCGGTGGGGGTTCTAGAACGAGGAAAGGGAGAAATAAAAGAGGGGCTTAAAACCGCAGCGCCCTTTACAGTGCGGATGCTGGAAAGCACAGAGAAGACTGGGGACTCGGTGGGGAAGGAGGTGGCGTGTTTTTTGCAGGAACTAACAGCTGTTACACGCCGCGTGCAGCAAATACGTGTTTGCATGTTATTGAAGATGACCGGCCCCTAGTATGTGGGGAGAGGAAGGAGGATTTCAGGGCAGTTACATACAACATGTATAACGTCTATGTTCTATAGCCCAAGTGATAAAAAAAAAAACTCCACAGAACCACTTTAGAAATCTGATGATGGGTGGAGTTGAAATCTCGTGTCTAACGGGTATCCGTGGACTGCCTACCGGCTGTGACCAGGCACCACGCTCCCTGCGGTAAACAGAAACCGAGATGTAACTCTTGTTTTCAGGGGCTTCCGAGAATTGCGCTTTTTAAAGGATCTGAAGCTTACCTTTTCCCATCACTTTTTCCGGCTGCAGGGCACACACGGCCTGCTCCGTTCCCAGAAGGAAGGGCCGGAAGTTGAGCGCGGGGTCGCCTGGCACTTCCCGCACGGCCTGACTTGAAAGGGCCGCCTCGCTTCTGCAGGCATTCTGAATACCGACCTCCTCGGTTTATTAGTTTATGCCTCACGACATATACCTTGGAGACGATCTGGAATCTTGTGAGTGATTTTGTGTCCCCCTGCAGTGGGGGCCACCTGGGGTTTTCGATGTTGAGCCTGTGCCGGTGGGCGGGTCCCAGCCCCCACCCCCTCACCAGCACACGCGCCAAACACAGTAGCTGGAAATAAATGGACTTGAACTTCATATGTTTCATCATGTAGTGCTCATTATGTACAGGGCAGTGACAGCAATGGTGAGACTTTGTTTCACGTTAACAACCAAGTGCCTCCTGATGAGGAGCCAGGACAGCCCGAGGCCGTTCACTCGGGGTCTGGAGGGGCGGCCGGCTCTCCACGGAGCGCCTGCCGGGGCCGGGCCTGGGTCAGCCCAGTGTTCCGAGGATCCCTGACACACACCCGAGTTTCGATCTGTAAAGGTCCCACCCTGTGAGACACCCCCCTTCGCAGTGGTGAGGGGAAAATGAGTACATTGTATGGACAAAGAACCAGGTCTTTTGTTTGTTTTAAAGATTTTATTTATTTTTAGAGAGAGTGGGAAGGAAGGAGAAAGAGAGGGAGAGAAGCATGAATGTGTGGTTGCCGCTTGCACACCCCTTACTAGGGAGCTGGCCCGCAACCCAGGCATGTGCCCTGACTGGGAATCGAACTGGCGACCCTTTGCTTCACAGGCCCACACTCAATCCACTGAGCTGAACCAGCCAGGGCGAAGAACCAGTCTTTAAACCTGCCCATTTCCTGAAAATAGATGACGTGGTATTTGAGATCACAAGTGGAACGCAGGAATTACGTTCGCTTCTGTTCGCGGTCTCCAGGTTTTGAGTTTCGTGCGGGAGAGAGACTTACAGAAAACCCCCTGGAGCTCCCTTTGCAGAATGACAGTGATCGGGCAATTAATCTGAATTATCGTTTGTAAAGGACGTGATTTTCGTGTTGCTCTGTTTTTATTAAGACATAATCGATGTGTAACATTTGATCAGTTTCAGGGGTGCGGTCTGAGGGTTTGGTATCGGTGTGTATGGCAAAGCGAGCGTGTCTCGGTGGACACGTGAACTCACTCCCTGCTTCCCCCCTCCGCCCCCCCCCCACCCCACACTGCTTTGGAGCGTGGGGCCGAGGTGGGTGGGTAGCGCATACGGTTCACGTCCTTTCTCCCCAGACACCCACCCTGAACAGGAGGAGCTGGAGTCTTGGTCCACCACTTTCAAAAGGCAGCCACGCCCAGGCCTGGATCTGAGTGTTGCACTGGGCAGAGCAGTTCCTGGTTTCACTCTTGTGCAGAGCCGTGGAGTGTTGAGAAGGAGATTCAGAGAGATCAGAGGCCTTTTAAAAAATGTTTTCATTGCTCCAGAAAGTTCTTTCTGATCGTCACCTTGCTACAATACAGATTAGGTGTTGGAAGACCTGGTGGAGTGTCCTTTCTTAAATGTGTGGTTTTTTCGGGAAATGCTGGATAGTGACCGAAAACCCCCTAAGTCCTCTAGCGACACAAGGCATGCCAGTGTCCTGAAATCACTGAACCCATTGTGGGGACCAGTTGTGGCATTTGTAGGGTTTTGGAGTTGAAAGGGGTCAAAAACAAACGCCAAGTGACGTGTGGCTTTTTGCATGTCCTGTTTCAATGGCTGCCGTGGGATTCACCCGTGTGTGTCCCCCTCTCTCTTCCCCGCAGTGAACACCTACCTCTTCATGATGCAGGCCCAAGGCATCCTAATCCGGGACAACATGCGGACCATCGGCGCCCAGGTGTACGAGCAGGTGGTTCGCAGCGCTTACGCCAAGAGGAACAGCAGCGCGAATGACTCAGGTATATTTTCAGTAAAGACGTGGTCTGCTTAGAATGGCTCCTCCCCGGAGAAGGAAATTTGGTTCAAGTAGTTATCTTCGATGGGACAACGTGTATTGTCAAAAGAGGGAAGGTTTGGCTGTGTCTTACCTTATTACTAACAAGAAGCTCTTGCGAAATGAATCTTTGTTTTGCTAAAAGTATGTGAAGTGTGTCCGAATGACCCCATTGTCGCTCCTAATACTTTTCAGGGATGGGGACCCCATTTTGGGGGGGTAGCTGCCCCCGGGAGGCAGATTAAGCATATTTTAGGACAGCAGCAAAGCAGGAGCACCAAAAGCTGTTCCTGGAAGTAATTCCACAGAAAAGTATTCCTACAGCCAGCGAGGAAAACCAGAACTTGGTCGGACTTCCTGGTAACGTGGGAACAAGGGTTCCTGTGGTTTCCAGAGCTCACGCGGCCTGGGCACCGCCCGGGCAGAGTGGCTCCAGCCCGGTCCTTTCTGCTGGACTCCACTTGAACTTGTTCCACCCAGTAGGACTCGTCATTTATGAATGCCTAGCGAGCTTCTATCTTGTAATAATCATGTCATTCGGGGCAGTTTCCACCAATTAAAGAAGCGGCTTCCGGGGCAAGTTTTACTAGGTCGCCGGGGTTACTTGCCCCGGTCAGGCGCGGTCTGCACCTTAGGGCTCAGCCCCAGGCCCGCGGCTGAGCCTGGCGACCGGATCCTTCCGCCTGGAAGGAAGCTCTGCAGACTGTGCTGCTGAACGTTGGAGCCGTGGACGCAAGAGTGAGCATTCCTGCCTCAATCTTTGGAACTTTTATCTGCGGCTTTTATTATTTTATAAGCCCTAATTCTATAAAGAGGAAAAGAGAACACAGGTTAGACGGCTTGCCTAAAATATATTGCAAGAACTTGTTTCTGAGTCACGGCTTTGACTATTTTTATAAGACCGTATCCGTAGGCAGCCCTCTACCTATGAGAGAAAGCTGTCCTTTTTTATGTCTCTTTTTAACTCTTCCAGAAATTGAACAAAGGAAGTATTTCCAGATGGTTAAGTGGGACTTGTCTAGTCGTGAGGCTTGTCCAGTCTAGCCAGGGACGGTTTTCATTTTAAAAGTGGATTCTGAGATCTTATTCTGCTCGGCATTCGTGATTGGACTCGCATTTCTTTCACCGAGGACTAGCGTGCTTTCCTGTGGCTTCTTACTGCTTTCACTCAAGCCTAGGATCATGAAACATGCGTATTTTTATTTTTATTTATTTATTTTTTAAAGATTTTATTTATTTTCTTTTTAGAGAGGGAAGGGAGGGAGATAGAGAGAGAGAGAGAAACATCAATGTGCGGTTGCTGGGGGTCATGGCCTGCAACCCAGGCATGTACCCTGACTGGGAATCGAACCTGCGACACTTTGGTTCTCAGCCCGTGCTCAATCCACTGAGCTATGCCAGCCAGGGCTAAAACATGCGTATTTTTAAAAGATAGTCTTTCCTTCAAATTAGTCCTTCCTTCTTCTGTCCTGAGTTCTAAGTCCACAGCTTCCTGGAGCATGTTGCAGATGAGAATTATTCTCTGATAATTGAGAACTCGAGAGAAATCCTTGCCTCTGGAAGGGGAGTGAAGTCTTCAGAACTGACCACCCCCTGGTCCTGGCCGGTAGGTAGCTCGTTTGGTTGGAGGGCCATCCTGGTGCCCTAAGGCCGTAGGTCTGACCCCCGGGGTGGGCCACGCACAGGAGTGAGCCAGTGAAGGCTGGGGTGGGTGGAACAGCAGGCCTGTGTCTCTCTCTCTCTAAATTAATTTTAAAAATAATTTTAAAAAACAAATACAAAATTGACCACATCCTAGTTTATCTATCTGTCCTGCTGGCCAGCTTAGCAGCAACGAAGGACCGTAGCCAGCAAACCAGATATGCTTCAGTACTTCCTTTTCCTTTTCCTTTTTTTTTTCCCAAAGAGCAAATAATCTATTTGCAGAGGGCGTGTGTGTGTGTGTGTGTGTGTGTGTGTGTTTAAGCCAGACGGTGGTCTCAGGACAAACTGCCAGAGCTCTGAACCGCACCTGAAAGGGAAGGAGTCCCTGTAGCACCTCCCCCGCCCCCCCGAGTCATGGGAGAGGGCCGAGCTCATTTTTGTTCTCAGCTGATCTCGCGGGGCTTCGGGCTTGCAGGCGGTCACCACACACTCTGGCTCGTCCGGAGTGGGGCTCAGTCGGAAGGGCGGGGCTTTAGGTTCTGTCGTGTTTTCTTGGGCAGTATAAATCACCTCGGGGGTGTGGGGGTGCCTTGGCCGTTTCCCTCAGCCCCGCCCCACACCCGCTTCAGGGGGTGTGGAGAAAGTGGGGAGTCCTTTGACTGCGGTTCCAGAGCCCTGCGCCCTGTGTCACTCTGGGTAAAGGAACACCTGTGCTGCCATGACACTTATCCAGTCCAAGTGTCCCAGCCTCTCTGAGGGTGGGTGGTGCTGGGACTTCTCTGTGGGCATTTGGCGAGGTGGTCTGTTCTCTCTGCGAAGTTCGAGGGGCACCCCAGTAGGTCTGTGCCTGCACCCTGGCTCGTCTTGAACACGGGGTCTCATTAGTTCCCTGAGGGCTTGTTGTCCATGAAAACTGAGCACAGAAGGGACTGGCACCCTTGGGTGGCATATCCAGGGACCCATTAGTACTTGACTTTGCGTGGATTTCTCAAATTATCATGCACCAAAGTCATTCTTCCCATCATCCATCCCTCTAGTTGGAGTAATATATTTTATGTTTAATGTTTCTCTTATAAGTTGGAAGTCTTTGTTTGCCCGTTGGGGGCTGTGTTGTTATGCTAGATACTTACATCATCGCATGGAATCCTCAGAAGAGCTCAGGAAGGTAACTACTGTGTCCCCAGTTCAGGGGTGAAGGGGTCAGAGCACACAGGAGTGACAAGACGACGCTGCAGGGGAGTTGGGACTCGCTGACCTCTGAGTCCCAGCAGTGCCCTCGCGGCCTCTGTCATCTTTGCATCCCCGGTGCCTTGTACACTGCCTGGAGCCCAGGAGACGCTCTGTAAATTATTTCTGAGTGCGTGAGTGAATAGATTTAACAAGGAAACACATTGAAAGCGTTGTAACCTAATCCTGAGATTACCTACTTGATGGGCCGGCTTCATTATTGACACATCTTTAGCCAGTCTGAAAAAAGAAGTATCATTTCTTTGCAAGTGTATCCAGTGAAAGCCCCTCGTTTTTGTTCCTTTCAAAGCGGTTCTCGGCCTCCTCTGCCTAGCGCGGTCAGAGAGAGTGTCTGGCCTACAGCTGCAGTACCGGCCTTACGAACGCTGACTCTGTATCGGACACATACTGTCCCTGTGACTTCTCTCTAGCGTATGCAGGTTTCTGCGTCTTTTAAGCAGAGAGGCAAGTGTTTGTTTGTCTCAGTGGGAGGGGAAATGGTGGTTCTTCCTAGAGTCTTTTGGACCGCACTTCCCACACCCTGCTCTGCTGGATTTGGTCACGTGAGGGACAAGGCACATTTCTGCCACACCCCATACTGGGATGGCCCTATCAACCTCGATTTGCACCTTGGAACCCCCAGGGTCAGGGAGGCTTTATAAAATGCTGATGCCTACACCATGTCCCCAGAAATTCTTATTTAATTAGCCTGGGGCATAGCCTGGACGTTAGGATTTTTAAAAGCTTCTAGATGATTCTGTTGGCAACCAAAGCTGCTCAGCCACTGGTGTGGGGTCAGGTTGACCAAGCAGGCCATTCGAATCTGCAGGTGGGAGGGTGTCCGCTGTTCTCCCACTTCACAGGTGGAGAAACAGCTGCCCCCCTTGCCAGAAGAACTTGTCCAGATTTGGGAAAGGTTAGCTGTAAGTGGAAAAGTAAAGCCGCGGCCTCAGACACCCAGCGAGCTTGTTTCTCTCTTGCAGCAGCTCCCTGTCCTGCCTCAGGAGAGCTGGGCGTGGCCGTGTGGTGTCCCCGTGGAGTGTCCGCATGGGGTCCACTCGTTCCTGGGTGGCCGGACGGGGGGGCCTGGGCCCCACAGTAACCGTGCAGTTACACTGAGCAATGAATGCCCTCTGCCTCTTTCACTTCCTTAACATTTGTATCTCCAGAACTTAACATGAAAAATGAGGAAATTAGGGGTTTTCAGAAGTTTTTCCCTCCGAGATGACTATTATGGGGCTTATTACAGAGGACTTAGGAGTTGTGTGTTTGAGGGGTTTTTTTTTAATGACACTATTTAGTAACCAGAGGGAAAAAAATATGTGGTGCTTGGTTTTGCCCTGTTTTGCTCTGTGCTAGTTGCTACCAGGCCTGTTATATCAGCATTGGAAGGAAGTGGAAAGAACTTGAGGTGACTTTAAAACCCCAGAAGTAGGACCATGAAAGTTAGCAACTGTCTCCTCTCCTGCGTCTTTTTGTTGCTGCTGATTTTGTTTTTATTTCTGCCTCTGTCATTGTCCTTGCCCAGGACTGTTATTCTCTTCTGGGGTTTTTTTTGTTGTTGTTGATTTGCTTAAGAAAGTGCTTATTATAGTACCTCTGGGAATGTCTTTGCCTTCTAGGAAAAGGTAATTACTGTGGTGCTATTTTAAAGAGAAGAGTATATGTGTGCAATTAAGAAGCGGAAGCAGAATCATGCAGAGGAACAATTAGTATTGAGGCTGTTTGAAGTGTTACTGTGTTTTGCTGAGTATAATGTGCTCCAGAGTACACTGCGCACCTGTATTTTTGGCCCAGACTTTCAGGGGGAAAAAATCTTTCCTTTTAATTTCTTAATTCGATTATCTATTTATTTATTTATATTGAGAAACAAAACCGATGATCATGTTCCAGGGTATTATTTTACATACAGATATTGTTATTGCTTTCTAGAGTTACACTTATAATGCATAGTCATAAATAAAAGAATTAAAAACATTTCTGTAGGTACAGAATTAGTGCTACCCACATATAATGCAGACCCATATTTTTCCTTCAAAAATTTGGGCAAAAAACTATGCACAGCAAAATAGGATAATGAATACCTTTAAAAAAAAAGACCCAACTCTAGGACAGGTGTGCATGTGTGAACCGAGCACTTTGGACTAACTTCAGTATAAATGTAGTTTTATCTTTGGGGCTAATGCTGACTTGGTTTATGTCTTAATGTAAATGCAGGTGTGGTGTTTTTCGGGAAGGCTACAACTAAAAAGGACAGAGAGAGTTCTGGGTCCTTCTTTCCCTGTTAAGAGGCTGTTACAATCCCCTCCAAGTTGCCTCTCCCTGAGTCTGGCCCCCTGAGCACTTGTGGAGTCGGCAGCCGTGTGCCCGTGTGAGCGGATTCACCGTGTCAGCAGCTTGGTTCTCGGAAACCGTCTCTTGGTGCTTTTTAAAGAGAGTAGAGGATTCTGGAATTTCAGGGTGCAAAGTGAGCTTGCGTGGGAAGTTTCAATGTTCGTCGAACCAGCGTGAATCCAAAAGGGTCGGTGAGAGGTTTTACAACTCTGCGGGGCTGACGCAGTGGAGTGGAAAGGTCGCCGGCCCAGGGCTTCGGCGGCCCCCAGTCAGGTGTGGCCAGGTCTCCCTGCACGGGCCGTACGTGTGGTGCCTCAGCGTCCTTACCTGTGAGAATAGAAGAGGCTGGAGGGGCTCCCTTCACACAGCCCCCTGGGAAAAAGGCGTCTGCTTCACTCACTTAAGACCCACGGAATGACACCAAGGAGATGTGTGTGTGCTGCGCGTGTGTGTGTGTGCATGTGTATGTTGTAAGCCCTTAAGAATGAAGAGAACGGGAAAGGAAATCACAGCAGAAAACTTTGGAAGTTGGAAAACGGACGGGCCACTCACAGAGGACTTAATAGACCCCCCAAAAGTGATTGCTAATGTGGCAGCAGGGAAAGCCATCACCCATCCCAGTTTACACACCCCAGAATCTTCCAGAAGCTCAGAAATTAGCAATGCCAGGTGCTTTTGGAGAGAAGAATAAAGGTGGCAACTTAGATGAAGGTTGGGTGAAAGTTGTCTGAAAAGCGGTCAGACACCCAGGTCCCTTTCCCCATCTTGGCAAAGGGCTGGAGACTTGGTAGCCTTCCAAGAGGGTAAAATGGGGGGTCCCTCAACGTGGGGTCACCTGGCTTGGTTCAGGTGTCCTCAGTTCCAGGATGCTTGTAGCCAAGACTGTCCTGTTGTGGCGGGAGATTAGAATGGACTTTTCTGGGCCATATGGCCAGGCCAAGAGGAAACACCCAAAGATACTGACTCGGGAAGTTTCTAAACCAAACTCCTGGCCAGAGCACCCTGTGACGAAGGACCTCCATCCAAACCCTTCCGGCTGGCCGGTCAGCGCCCCGCTCGTCGGCACTGGCAGGTGCCCGGGGACCCCCAGGCTGGGGATGGAAACAGACCAGGGGCAGCAGGCGGGGAGAGACGGACCGTGCGGGGAGGGGAATGTCGGAGCTGCGGTGATACACGTTCTCCGGGATCAGGGAAAAGGGATAGCAACTTGCGGAACGGGAGCATATGGTAAGACGTGGACGTTCAGAAAACAAAAAGGACTCCTCAGGATTAAAAATGTGACAGCCGAAAAGATCGTTAAAAGAAGAGCTGAGGAGATCGTGGGGCAGCAAAGCAGGCGTGGTCGACACAGCGGGCAAAGTCAGACCCCCTAGCAAGGCACGTGGGTGTGGGATTTTCTCAGCAAAGAGAAGGTCCTTTACACCTCCGGGAAGACGTAACTGGTCGCCTTCGATCAAGTCAGGCATCGGAGTGGCGTTGGCCTTCACAGACCAGAGCAGTCCAGACGCACTGCGACAGGCAGCACCTCCACAATTCTTTTTTTCTTTAAATGGCTTTTAAAGTTTATTTTTAGTGAGGGGGAAGGGAGGGAGAAAGAGAGGGAGAGAAACAGTCAGATACGCGAGGTTTCAAAATCACTTCTCATTTCCCCTTCTTAGAGCGTGCTCCAATAAGTGAGAAAAAGGGGGAAATTGATCTCGGGGAAAACAAGGTTCCGTTCGGTAAAGAGGGGAAGGGACCTCCAGCACACTGAAGAGGGGAGGCCCAAGCAGAGCGTCTGCACGTCAGCGCGGAGGACAGCCCGTTCAAACCGGAGCAGGGCGGTGGGCCCTGGGCCTTCTGTGCAGGGTGAGGTTCGGAGAGCGCCTGACGCCTGGGAACGTCTTCAGCAAAACGTGGTGTTAAAGGGCACGGTGTTGGGTCCGTCCTCCGCCCGTTTACAACTTGGCAAAACAGAAAAACAAGACAGTCACTCCGGGAACAATCTATGCAGGGAAGGAAGGAAAGGTGATTGATTATAACTCCCCGCATTCCTCAGCTGTGATTAGTATCCATAGAATCGTCACAGTATAAATACTAAAGACACGGAGCCCTAGTCACAGTTACCATGCATGACTGCTGGGAGACCGGAGGATGAAGAGGGTGTGTGCCTGCTGGGGGGGGGGGGAGGGGGGAGGGGGGAGGGCGAGCCGCCTTCCCGTAGTGGGAAATCTGCAGGTGAGACTGAGGCCTAAGACAGAAGCCCCGTGATTAACCACGTAGGGAACGGGGGTAACTAGTTGATGCGTGGGTCACCAGCCAGCAGTGATCACAAAACGCTGCGGGTGGCTTGTCAAAACGCAAGAAAAAATATACACAGAGACAACCAGGTCCTGTGGGGGAATAGGAAGAGCAGGGCCACTCCTCACGCGGGGAGCGCTTGGCCACCCTCTCTCCTGGAGGGCGCCATGGCCACCCTCCCTGGTGGGGAGAGCGGGCCGTTCCCCCTCAGGAGAGGCTTTTTATTGGTTTCGTTTGCATAAGAATTCAGGTAAAAGCTCATTACTCATTGGTAGGAAGTAAGGATCAAACAATAGATAACAAGGAAGTCTGAGGGCCTATTTTGAGTCAGGGTCAAAGAACTGTAAGACTACAGAACAAACTAACTTCCTCCTTGGACCCTTCTCATTCAACTGAGAGCATTCTAAACAAAGCAGGTTTCACAGGATTTTACATGTTCTTTCTTAGGCCTGATCACCCGGGAACCCGCCCTTTTCAGCACAGGGCAGCACCACCCTGTCATTGTTTCAGGCTTAGGTGGAGCAAGGGAACTAAGGCAACCAAGAGATAAGGAGATTTTCTCCCAGACGATGAGGACTCAGGCTAAGTCAAAGCCAAGGAGTGAGGGTCCATCACCCCCTTTTGCTGTAGCCCCCAAAGTCCTTCTTTTGGGGGCCTCCCATGTGATCGTGCCTGTCTTAGGTTGTTCCCTCCTTGGGGAATCTTACCCGTCATTGGCTAACCGACCAAGCTTTGGGGTTCAATTATGAGTGAAGCAGCAGAAGCAGCGCTCCTGCCAGGGAGATAAGCTTTTGTCTCCTTGCTGGCTTGTGGTCCAAGGCCGTTCCCTTAGCCTTAGCTTTGGCGGGGGTTACAGCTCCTGATACCAGGCAGGGCGGTTCCCAACAACTACTGGAGAAGTCGGCTAACAGAAGTGAAGTTAGTTCCTTTCGAGAACAAGGTACAGGGGCGCTGCGCTGTTTTCATAGTTACACTCTCCAGTTATTTGACTGTATCCTGAGTGCATTTACAGCTGCGATCTCCATAAGAATAGGAACACTGGTTTGAACAGTATCAACTGGTCAACGTTTTCACTGATGAGCTCAGATGCGTGGCTATAGGGAAGAGCTGGCCCAGAGCCCTGCTTTGCCCAGAAGGATGTCTGAGGGAAAAGCGTGTTCGACAGACCCCTGAGGACCGCAGCACTGGTCACGTGCTCCAGACTGAGCCTCCTGTTTTTTGTACCCCTGCAGATTATCCTCTGGACTTGAACCACAGTGAAACCTTCCTGCAAACCACAACTTTCCTTCCCGAAGACTTCACCTACTTCGCAAACCACACCTGTCCCGAAAGGCTCCCTTCCATGAGTGAGTAGCGCTCTCAGCTCACCGTCCTCTGTTTTGAAACGGCTGCCTTTTTGTTTGGGTAACATAAGAGGGAGCGTGTCCCTGCTCTCTCAGTGTGTCTGCCCCCGGAGGGAACCGGGAGTGCCTCCCTGCTGCTGGGGACAGGGCCTGTGAGAGCCGCCCGTGTCCCAACCCTCCCTCAGCCCTTCTGCAAGGTCGCTTGAGTTCTCAGTGCCACTTTCTACAGTTTTTCCCTCTTTACTTTGCACACGCCCCCTTGCTTGTAACCTGGGGTCTGTTAAGATGTCCTAGAGACAGTACAGGCAAACAGCTTCACATAGTATAAATCTTATACTAATCATAACTCGTTTGATGTGAGAGAAGTTATTTTCTTAACAAAGCGCTAGTTTAAAAAATCCTTGAATCTTCTCTTTCTTCTTTCCTACTTTCTTGGGATCCCACGCGTAATCTAAGACAGGGACAACAAAGCATCACACCTTTTCTGCATCTTAGTTCCGCTCTCATAAGTCAGAGATGATGCGTGTCCTGAGTTTGGACGTGGCCAGCCAGGGTCACCGAGAAAGCACTTGGGACGGCGAGTCTGCCCGTGCCTCGGGGGCACTCGGAGACGGCGCCAGGCTCAGCCGCTTTTCTCCTTCCTCTCTGGGAGAAGTTCAGCTGCTGCTGTGCGTGGTCTTGACTTCTTCCTACACCCCAGGCAGAAAGTCTTAGTTTCCTGATTTGCTGCTTTCCCCAGTGATATCGATGACCTGAAGTGCAGTGCGTTGGAAGGCAGAGGAAGGGACTCCCACCCCTGTTAGAAACACAATGAGCTGGAAAGACATTGAACTTCTCCAGAGAGTCAAGGCCTGGACACGGGGAAAGAATCTGTCATTTTCTGGCCTCTTACTTTCTTTCTCTCTCTCTCTCTCTCTCTCTCTCTCTCTCTGTCCAGAGGGCCCGGTAGACATCAACATGAGTGAAATTGGAATGGACACCATTCACGAAGTCTTCTCCAGGGACCCAGCCATCAAGCCCGGTGGCCACTGGACGCCTTCCGACTGCGTGCCCCGCTGGAAGGTAGGGGGCGGCGTCGGACCTGCGGTGCTGGGAAGCCCGCTCGGGGACTTGGCACTGTTCCAGGTCACCACGGGACTCGCTGACCGTGGCATTGCGCAATTTGCCTCCTGCTGCCCGACGGGAGTATTTGCATTTGATGAAAATGTTCTGGAGGGATGTGTTTCCCCGAGGCCTCTTCTGTAGCCACAGAAATTTGCATCCTCCCGCTGACTGAAGAGGCCCCTTTCATCTTCCCACAGGACTGTGGCGAGCAGGGGCGGGGGGACTGGTGGGTCTTTCATGACACATTTACGGAAGCCCTGTTCGCCAGTCCAGTGCCTCGTGCCCTCCTCGCCGGTGCCGCTGCAAGTTCAGCGGGGCGAGAAGTGGGGAGGGCCAGCTGGGCGGGGAGGACGTGAGAGTGCGGGTTCTGTGCCAGCCCTGCAAGGTCACCGTGAGGCGGCCACGGTCAGAGCAGCTCTGGGACAGCTTCCCGCCAAGGCCAGAGTGTGAAATCAGTTTAACGACCATCATTCAATAAATATGCCTGTGTTAAAGTTCACTGCACGTTGTACGGGGACGTGCTGTTTTGTGAAGTGTGTTTCAGCTGTATGTTTACATATATCTACGGATCTTCGTGTCCTGGGTCACCGGGTAGCAGAATGTATGTCCTCCCCTGGCTCTGGTCTGGAGTGAGTCCACTCAGTAGGCCCACTGCGCGCACAGTGTGGTGCGTGTAAGAACAAGGTCCACTTACTTCCAAGGGCCCACTTGCCAAAGCAGTCCTTCCTTGAGAGGAAGCCGGGGGCAAGGCAGCCTCCCAGCCCTGCTCCCCGAGAGCCGGGCACCGCTTCTGCAGAAGCTGAGGGGATCTAACCGGGCGGCCCCTTTTGTCTCGACCCACCGCAGGTGGCCATCCTGATCCCCTTCCGGAACCGCCACGAGCACCTCCCGGTGCTGCTCAGACACCTGATCCCCATGCTCCAGCGCCAGCGCCTGCGGTTCGCGTTTTATGTCATTGAGCAAGTGAGTGGCCGGTCCTTTCTTTCCTCGCCTGCTTCTTCTGAGGCAGCAGTGCAGAGCGGGCCCCCCAGCTAACCCGCCTGTGCCGCAAGGAGCCTGCAAACTGAGGCCTCATCACTGAGTCGTCCTGAGGTGGGAGGGGAACGGAGAGCAGCCCTGCGCTGCTCCTTGGAATGCTGCTCAGTCCGTCCGCAGCACAGACCTGAGTCCAGGGTGGGACTCTGTTTACTTTTGAACAAAGGGCCCTTGTGCTCGGGTTCTGCCCGAGTTGCACTGGGCGGTGTCTCCAGGCCCCAGGAGATGCCCTCACAACAAGGAGCCATAAGCAGGAACTGTCCGCGTGTTCCCCTCCCTTTTATGGGGCTGGGTGATTTCCTAGCTGCTGTCTCCCGTCCCAGCAGCCTGGGGAGAGAGGAGCTTGGGACTATAGTTATCGCCCACGTTATTTCTGAGGAAACGGAGGCTAGAGGTCAGGCAGCTGGTGAGTCAGTGAGGCGGGGTGTGGTGCGGGGCCGCCTCACTGCCGGCCCAGTGGTCGCTCCCCGGGCGGTTTCGGTACACTTCCTTTAGGCCGGGCTGAGGCAGCAGCGACGCCGCTCCAAGAGCCCTTTTACAAATCAAGTGCTGTCGTCGTCGTAGGTTGGCACCCAGCCCTTCAACCGAGCCATGCTTTTCAATGTCGGTTTCCGAGAAGCAATGAAGGACTTGGACTGGGACTGTCTTATTTTTCACGACGTGGATCACATACCAGAAAGTGATCGTAACTACTATGGATGTGGACAGATGCCAAGGCATTTTGCAACTAAATTGGATAAGTATATGTATCTGTGAGTATCATTTCCTCTTAAAGAAGTAACTCTTAAAAGGGTGGAGAGAGGTGCAAAGAGGACAAATCCAGTTAGCTCCAACCCAAATGTCCCTCGGCTGATGAGTGGATGCACGAAGCGTAGTGTACCCACACAGGGAATACCGTTCTCAGTGTAGAACAGTGAGGTACTGATACACATGCAACAGCGTGGATGAAACTGGTTACAAAAGACAACACATCATACAATTTCATTTACGCGGACTGCCCAGAATGGGCAGATCTGTGGAAACAGAGAGGAGAGTAGTGGTTGCATGGGGCTGCGGGAGCCGGGGGAACTGAAGAGGACCTGCCGATGGGCCCAGGGCTTCTTTGGGGGGTAATGACATGCATTAACACGGGCCGTGGTCGTGGTTGCACAGCCCTGTGAATAGGCTAAAGCTCCCTGAGTCACGCACTTGAAATGGGCGAAGTATATAGCATGCCCGTGTGTCTCAGTGAAGCTATTGTAAAGAGAGCTCACTGAGCCCTGGCTGGTGTGGCTCAGTGGATTGAGTGCTGGCCTGCGAACCCAAGGGTTGCGGGTTCGGTTCCCAGTTGCTGGCCAGGTCCCCGGTTGGGGGCGTGCAAGAGTCAACCACACATTGATGTTTCTCTCCCTTTTTCCCCGCCCCTTCTCTCTAAAAATAAATAAAATCTTAAAAAAAAAAAAAAGCCCAATGAGCTCTGCTGAGGTCAGTCGATGCATCTCAGAACAAGGAAGCAATTTCGGACGGTTCCGGCCAGTGGCACGGAGAGCAGTGCTCCGTTTAAGACGTTGTTCCCCAGGGCGAGGCGGCCTGCTCTGGAAAGAGTCGCGCTCTCGTGTGCGCGCGCGCAGAGGACTGATGCTGTGCGTCTTCTTTTAGGCTTCCTTACACTGAGTTCTTTGGCGGAGTGAGCGGCCTAACCGTGGAGCAGTTTCGGAAAATCAACGGTTTCCCTAACGCTTTCTGGGGCTGGGGTGGAGAAGACGACGACCTGTGGAACAGGTAGGGGCCCTCTGCCGCGCCTTCCGGAGGTGCTCCCTCTGCTGGCGCCTTCCGGAAGTGCTCCGTCTGCCGCGTCTTCCCGAAGAGCGCGCCCTCGGAACGCGAGCCGTGTGTGTAATTGCAAACGGTGCTGGTAGCCACGTTTCCAAAGGTTAAAAAACAAAACAAAACAGGGCAGATCAACTTTAATATGGTAATAAAATATGTTAGCAGTTTATTTCTCGTAATGTGTTCCAAAATGATATCATTTCAACATGTGATTAATGAAAAATGTTAATGAAATATCTTACATTCCTTTTCCTCACTCAATCTTTGAATTGGCATGTATTTCCCATTCACAATACATCTCACTGAAACCTCCCCAAACCGGAGGTCAAATGTTAGTGCTGTGCACGCAGATTTGTCCGTGAGATCAGATGGGCCTTGTGTTGTACGAGTTGATGTGAGCAGCCCCGTGGGTAGTGTACGCTAGTATTTTAGGGGTAAGTGAAGAGCAACTTAATAAGGAATGAGTAAGAAAATAATTGCCACCTTGCATCTGTTTCAGCTTGGCTTTTTAAAAGAAAGTAGGTGTTGGCTGTTAATCACAAAGTAATATATGCTGGTGAAAATTCCTATGATACCAAAGTCCATACACCAGAGTCTAATAAATCTCAATCCCCGTTGCCATCCTGTTTCATCCCCAGGAAGTAGCCGATTTTAACGAGCTGCTTCTTTTCCGACCTCTTTCTCTGCATAGATGAGCCACTCGGACACGCCCCCTCCCCTCCCCTCCCCCCATGTCAGTGCAGTGAGAGCCACTTCCTTATGCTTAGTAATTGCATAGCACTCCTTTGTGTACGTGCCCAGGAGTTTCTTCTCATTCTCTCCTGTTGTTACAGTTTTGACTATCTTTTGTTCGCGTGTGCCAATATTTCTTTAGATTAAATTCCTAGTTGTGGCACTATAGAGTCGAGAATTAAATGCACTTGATTGTATTTCATTGTATTTTTATTTATCAATTGAGAGAAGGAGAGAAAAAGGTAGGGAAGGAGAAACACTGATTTGTTGTTCCACTTATTGATGCATTCATTGGTTGATTCTTGTATGTGCCCTGACTGGGGACTGAACCTACAACCTTGGTGTACCGGGATGACGCTCTAACCAGCTGAGCCATCCGGCCAGGTCAAGAAGTAAACGCACTTTCAATTTTGATAGCGATTGCCAAATTTTCCTTCAAAAAAGATTGCAAAAAGATTCTGACCAGTAGTGCACTAGCATGCCCATTTTCTTTTATTTCTTTTCTTATTGTTACTCAATTACAGTTGTCCCTGCATGCCCATTTTCTTACACCACTGCCAGCCTCAGAGGTAAACAACCTTTTGCATTTGGGCCGCGTTTTAACTCCTCAGCAGTCGCATGTGGCTCACGGCTTCCACATTGGACCAAGCAGCTCCGGACCATTCTCGTTCAACCCAGTGGGTAAAAGTGGCATCTCATCCTTTTAATTTTGGTTTCTTAGGAACCTAGTAGGATGAAGAGCTGTTCCATATCCTTAACTGGTTTGACTGGTCCTTGAGTCCAGCTGATCCCTCCCAGGACATCTGTCGAAATTCTCCTCGCTCTCTCCCCCCAGCTCCGGGCGGAGGGGGTGAGTGTAGGTTCAGGCGCTGTGGTGGGTCTCAGCACCCTGCACAGTTCCAGGCACCCAGTAGACATTCCATGGGCGCTTACCAAATGAGAGGACAACTCAGAGTCAGGAGGGTATTGGAACAATGTGAAAATGACCACAGACTTCACGTAGAGTCCAGAGTCTATTCATGATTTCCTCGAGCCCCATTAAGTTGCCAGTAAACCCAGCTTGGGAAATCTGTGTCTTATTAGGAGAACATCCTGAACGCCTCCTCCAAATTCTGCTTCCCTGGTAGTGGCTGTTCACACATTGTGAAGCTTTACGCCGAGAGATTGTCGAGTACAGTCGTTCATCCCCGTGGGGATGGGGGAGGTGGGCAGGGACCTCATTTCTGCCTGAGCAGGGAAACCGCATGGCAGCTCCGGCGTTGCCGACTTGCTTTGTGGCGCAGGGGGAAGGTGTCCACCCGGGAGGAAGGTGTCTCTCACAGGACCCAAGCAGGCCGTGGAGAGTGGCAGGCATGCACACGTCTGCCGGGACCACCCACGGTCGGATCTGCCACTGAGAACCATGTGGGCTCTCACCCGCAGGAATCCTGGGTTTCATTTTGAATTTGTGTGTTCTTGTTTCAAAATTGCTTAGCGCTGTAGATGTCTTTCCCAAAGCCACGAGCTCACCCAGAGGATGCAGGAAAGGTGCGCGAACATGTAGACGCAGAGCAAGTCCTGTTGTTGGGCCTGGGTTTGCTCGCCGGCGGGATTCGGGCGCTGTGCCTGAGAGCCCTTTCCCTTCGTCCCCGCAGAGTGCAGAACGCGGGCTACTCCGTGAGCCGGCCGGAGGGCGACACGGGGAAGTACAAGTCCATCCCTCATCACCATCGAGGAGAAGTCCAGTTCCTCGGGAGGTGGGTGCCACTCGTTTATTCTTTTCACAAACGCCGTCCGTAGCTTGCCTTCTGGATGCCCCAGAGCAGGCGACAGCCCCTCGTCCCCCTGCCCAGCTGCTCCCCAGGCCCCGTTCTGACAGCTGCTCTGTAATTTTAGCCACATGCATTTTAACTTAACTGGGAGGCGGGCGTTGCAGGGGGACACCAGACGACCGGCGCAAGTCTCGGTTGTAAGATCTTCTAAGCAAATCGCTCGTTCTACATCCTAAGCTTTGTGACCTCCTCGGTGGCCTTCAGACAGTGGGAGGAAAGCTCCCTCGGGTCAAGGTCTCCGTGACGGACACTACGTGGCGGAGCAGACTCAGCTCTGCCTCTCCGCTCTCGGTGGCGAGGAAAGCCCAGGCCAGACTCGGCGGGCGTGTGGGCCGAGGGATGTCCCTGCACTCCCAGGGGCAGGGGAGCGCTGGCCTCCGGAGGGCCGACCCCGATGGCGTGGACTCTGTCTTCACAGAGTAGCGGGCACCGGGTCCAGACGCCGGACTGTCCCCTCTGCTGTGTCAGCGTCTACCGCCCCCGACTCTGTGACCGAGGGCGGGCCGTTGGCACCAGGAGCCTCGGTTTCCTCCTCTGCTTAAGCGGTGGGGTGGGGGGACTCGGTGAAGGGTGTAGTGAGTAAAGCCCCTGCCATGAAATGGGAGGCGCTTCTTCTTGTGATCACGTTGGCCACGGAGTGGCTGAACAGCCGGTCCCCTGGCCAGGAGGGGTCAGGCCTCTGCTCAGTGCCATCTCTGTCCTCTGCCCCGACAGGTATGCTCTGCTGAGGAAGTCCAAAGAGCGGCAAGGGCTGGACGGCCTCAACAACTTGAACTACTTCGCAAACGTCACTTACGACGCCTTGTACAAGAACATTACCGTCAACTTGACACCCGAGCTGGCTCAGGTGACCGAGTACTGAGAGGAGGGGGGAGGAGCTGTGTCTGCTCCGCTCACCACCACGCCCACCCCCACGGAGAGCGCCGCCGCCCGACCGCCCTCTCGTCCCGGCCTCCCCCGGCAGGGAAGCAGGGCCACGGCGTACAGCGTCCGACAGACTCGGAGGGTCGCAGAGCCGCAGGGAGCAGCGAGCACGGAGCACATGCGCACCCGCCCCCCCCCAGCCATTCGGACCCGTCGAGACCGGGGGAGCGGGCGCTGCTTTCATGGGGACTGGCTTCCTCTTCTCCCCAGACGGATGTCTGTCCTGCTGCTCTTCTCCCCGGTCTCCTGCCCGACGCCCCGTCTCAGCCCCCGTCTCGGGTCCGGAGCCCGCCCCTGCGGTGGCCTCGGGAGCTTCTCGGCTTTCGGAGCAGAGAGGCAACCCCACCACCGGGCAGCTGTGTTCTCCGAAGAGAAATGAAACTCCACACACCATGCTCCATCTCTGGTGTTCTCTTCAGTTTCATTTTTTTAAAAAAAAAATTACCTGCTTTGGGTGGGGGTCGAGGGTGGAGGGGAGGGACTGGGGAAGATAAATAGACATGTAACAATCACTTCTTGAAGAAGTATAATTAATTGTAAATAAGCCATGTAAAATGCCTTTTTTAAATTTAATTTTATAGCTGGCTTCAATTCAAACTGAGGATTTATATTATTAGATCACTTACTTGGTTGGCGAATGCAGGATCTCGGTTAAGATGCAGTGGAAGAATACATCTCCCCAACCGCTGTCACCTTGGAAGGGAGTGGACTTAGGGCCTGTCGCAAGAGAACAAAGCAGTCCAGTCTCGGTCACTGGTAGCTGACCTCTGCCACCATCCGCCCCCTCTTCCAAGGTCTCGCTCTTGACTTTTGCTCTGAGTTCCCTCCCCTGTCGGGCACGGACGTCTCTTCACACTCTGCTGGGAGACAGGAGGCTGCCCTTCTGCCACGAGCTGCTCCCAGCAGACCCCGGGGGAGGGCCACCGGCACGCACTCCCGGGGACCCTGGCCTTTTCCTTCATCCTCCTGTCTCTGGAAAGGGGAAGGATGAGTGGTGTCTTTCCTTCTCTCTCTCTCCCTCTCTCTCTCATTTTTTTTTCTCCTGTGGAACATGGTCACAATTTCCGGAATCTGTGCCTAAATTACCAACTAGCTTCAGTGATTCCTCTTGAGTATTTCCTTTTCGGTTTCCGGCATTATTAACCAGTCCACGGAACTAACAGGCGATCAAACCGTGAGAAGCTCGAGCAGATGCCGCCTGTGTGCTGTGGGTCAGCCAGGGTCCAGGTTAGACCAGGTCAGAGCTTGGAAATGAGACCGACAAAGGTCCAGGGGGCCGGGGCCCACGCGCCCTGTTGGCTGCCCGTGTGCTTTCGGAAGTCAGATTCTAAACTGCACTTGAATTTGTGCCTCTCGCTTTTTCCCCTGAGCCAAACCCCTCGATTCAGAGTCCCTGTGGACTTCTGCAGAATTGTGAAAAATGCCAGTGTTTTTCCCCTCCTTTTCCATAAAACGTATTTATAGATCATGATTGGGAGTGCTTTCTGCAGAGTACTTCATATTTTTTTTAATTGCCTTGTTTGCCTTCAACTTCCTTAATTTTCATGGTTTACATGGATGTGCGTGTAGGGGTATATTTGTGTATACACGTGTGGGTTGGTTTTTTTCCGATGCATGTTGTTGGTCCCATGGACATATGATCCCCACCAGCTGTGGGAGTGATTGGCCAGGCCTCGTTTTTGTTCATGTTTTTGTTCTTTTGAAGAATAGAGTGGTATTTAGAAAATCAGTTTGCATTGCAAAGCTCTTATCAGCTCGTATGAGAGAGCAAGCCGCTGCCCTTGAAAACGCTGATGAGTTGCATTATATGTTTTAAAAGATTTTGAGAATTTTGTGCTTTAAAAGACCTTCAGGAGGGAACATTGACCCAGAAGTCCGTCTGGTTTTCCTTTGATGTATGATGCACACAGCAATAAAGATTGCTTCCCCCCTCGCTCCCTTAGGCACCCTCAGACCTCCGTGGCGGCCCTGGCGCTTCCCACCCTCCTCCTCCTCCTCTGCCGCCTCCGCCTCCCCTCGTTCCTCGCTGAAGGCTGAGCCGCTTTCAGTGAGACAAAACTAGGATGCCATCGGGAAGAACTGGCCAGGACAGACTGCATGGTGCTTGGCAGGCGTTGTATAGTGATCTTCCTTGAAGCTGTTTCATCAGCCCGTTCCCCTCCAAGAACCAGATGTTGGCCAAAGGTGACACCTGCTGAGTTGAGGACGGAAAGGAAAGGTCTCGGAAGTCAGGCCACTTAAATGATCTTGCAGCCACGGGCAGGTCCGTGTCACTAGTGTGAAGTCTCTCACTGCGCGCTGGGCGTCGCTCACCCGCCCAGCGGAGCGCGGAGTGGGCGGCTGAACCGGGGACGCATACAGCCGGGCCCGGTGCTGTTCACGGTGTGAAATTCTCATGTTAAAAATGAAGAAGAACAATAAGAACCAAATGTGACCTTGTGCATATTTTGGCAGCTGAAATTCTATAAGGCTACTGATGGGTGTGCCCCGCCCCCACCCCCCAAATTGTTCTTGTCTTTGATCATTGCTGGACAAGGGAAGGTTTCTCCTTTCACACTGTTTTTGTTGTTGTTGTTGTTGTTGTTGTTTTTGGAGGGGGGAAGTTATTTGCAAAAATATTCCTTTTGACATCACAGGGACGCTTAGTAGAGCTTCTCCACCACAGACATTAATAGCTGAGCAGCAGCCACATGGATGATTGTATCCACTTACCGTTGACGATGACATGGAACGTAGCTCATTTCCATCACTGCGTTTTGTTTTGTTTTGTTGAGCTTGCTCTTATGTTTTAAGAGGTGCCAGGGGTACATTTTTGCACTGAAATCTAAAGATGTTTTAAAAAAAAAAACACTTTTCAAAAAGATAGTCCTTTGTCATTACATTATTTACTCATGTGTTTGTACATTTTTGTATGTTAATTTATGAATGATTTTTTCAGTAAAAAATACATATTCGAGAACCAAACCTCGGGGGTCGTCTCTCTGTCCGGGACAGCGTGGCTTCTTGGGGCCTTCCCTTCCTCGCGGGACGAGATCTCCTCCCTGGGTTCCTTCAAGCCCTCCGCGTCCACCCTGCTCGCTGCCCGCCTGCCCCCTGCAGGCCGACCGGCTGAGTGAGAAGAACCGGCCCGGGCGGCGAAGCACGGAACCCCACGTGGCGCTCTCCAGGCCCCGCCCTCCTCCCGTAGCTGGGTTTTCTCTCAGGAATTGGCCCAGGTGATGATGCCCACGTGGAACAAGACCCCTGGGGGCGGGGGTGGGGTGAGGATCAACGGAGTCCGGATCCAGAGCTTCACTGCCCGCCTGGTCCTGCGCCAAGACTGTGGCCGTGTGACTGTTGACCACTCGAGAATACTTGGCGAGTGTGAGGTTGCGGGCCCAGGTGCCGGGATACAGTGACGAGCGATAAGAGGGGGGCGGTGTCGGAGCTTCCTGTCCTGGTCTCCCCGCACCCCGCGGTGGACGGTATGATTAAGCCTCCGACCTCGGCATGTGCTGTAGCAGAGGTACCTGTGGGCCGGGAGTGGCTGGTGGGGCGGGTGTCCCTGAGGTCGGCGGGTGAGCTGGGCAGAGGCAGGCAGCGCGCCCGCCCAGTGAGCTGCCGGACCAGGAAGCCGGGAGGGTTGGAGAGAGGTCAAGGGGACGCTCACGGGGCACCGCTGGGCCGAGGAGTTGGATGGGCCAGACCACGTGGTGAGGGCCTTGTGGGCCAAGGTAAGGAGTTCAGATGTTGCCCTTAGAGCAGTGGGTCCCAGAGCTTCCAGCAAGTAGGGCTGAGTACCACGTGATTAGATGGTGCTTCTGGTAGAGCGCCACCTGCAGGGCGGGTGGGGGATTGCGGAGAATCAAAGGAGAGGCAGGGGGCCAGTTAGGTGGGTCCGTGTGAAGGAGGGGAGGGGTGCTGGGGTGAAACGGGGCCTGGGCACGGATTGCTGTGGGGGTAGGGAGGCCCCCCACCCACCCTCAAGCTGCTGGCCTCCCCCTCACATGGATGGCAAGGCCATTCCCTGAGACAGGGGCACTGGAACCGGGTCAGGTTCCTGGGGAAGACCGTGAAATCAGTTGTAAGTGTATTAGGTTGGGGGGGGGGGGGGTTCTTGAGACAACGAAGCAGAAATGGTGAATGCATGTTCTGGTTTGGGGACTGGAGGGAATGGTGGGATCAGGGGTGGATTTGTGAGTGTGGTAGCACACCAGTGAAGACCTAGGCGTCGGTGAGGCTGCTCAGGAGCTGAGCCGAGCAGGCAGTGTGGGGGGCGAAGAGAAGTGCCCTTGGCCCGAGCCGCTGAGATCTCCGCTTCCTAACAGCTGAGACCCAGACAGACAGGAGGAGACGCGGGACGGGAACGGGAGTGGACAGGACGGGAAAGTCAAGGGTGGAGATGTTCGTGGGAGGTGTGCAAGGATGCAGCCAAGGAGTAAGGTGAGGAGTGAACGCCAGTGAAGGACCGGCACGGGGGAGGACGCCGGCCTTGCGTGCGGCAAGAGCCATTTCTCGGAACGGGGTGGGGGAGGGGCACGCTGGAGCGGGTGGAGAAAGGAGGAATTGAAAGCAGCGGTGGGCACAGGCTCTTGAATTTCCTAAGAAAGGGGGCAAAATAGAAAGCTGGTGGTTTTGGTTCTGGTTTTCTAACAAGAGAAACCAGAGTGTGTTCTCGGAACCGGAGAGGGATGTCCCCGAGAACTGGATACACCAGAGACCAGGGATGGCCCAGCAGGAATGGTTCCCCCCCGCCGCCCCCTAGTGACAGGGAAGGAGACTAGAAAAGAAAAACCCAAAACTCAGGAGGAATGAGGAACCCAGTAGGAGTGGCAGACGCAGACGCCCTGTGGAGACCAGGGCTGCTGTTCAAGAACCTGAGAATCTCTTGCCGTCTGGTCACGGGGTTCAAGGTCAGCTGAGTGGACTCCAGGTCCTACCCTTTCCTCCCCACTGAGTTTTTCTTTTTTCTTTTCCTCTTTTTTTTCTTTTTTTTTTAATTTGGGAGAATCCAGTCATAAAAATAGTAGTCAACAGTTCCCATTTGTTGAGGGCTTGTTTTGCAGCAGGGGCCGTGCCAATGAAGCACATTGCACAGGATCAGCCATCTGCCCTCCAAGGTAGACCTTGCCCCTTCTTCCAGAGCGCCGACCCTCAGCCTCAGCTCTTGACTGGGGCTGGGTAGTTCTTCGTCCAGCAGGGGGTGTGGGGCAGGGAGTGGGGGGGGGGGTTGCTGCCCTCTGTGTGCTACAGGATATTTAGTAGCAACCTGCCCCCCCCCACACACACACATTGTGACAACCAAAAATGTCACCAGTGGTAGCCAAATGACCCTGGGGAGAGCAAAATCCCCTGGTTTCGTGCTCTGGGTCTGAGGCTCAGAAGCCAGCAAAGCCACTGCTTGCCCGAAGTCACGAAACGCCCCAGAGCCAGCGGCTGGTGAGCGCCCGGTCCTTCCGCCCCAAGGCGCAGGCTCGGAATCTCTAAGTGGCTCCCGGCCCAGCTTCCATTTTGCACGAGGAGCTGTGGCCCAGCAACAGCGTTCACAAGGACCTCCGCCATAGCAGTGGTTCTGGAGTGCGTGCTCACCGAGAAAAGCTCAGACTCTTTCTCCCTTCGACGCCAGCCGTTTGGCTAATGTCTCTAATAGGGAAACAGGGACAGGTAATGTGCACTTAAAAAAAAAAAAACCATCCATCGTCTCATAATTACTTTTGCATTTTAACCCTCGTATTTCTTGCCGACCTCGTTGTGACTGAGGGACTGCAAGTGGAGCTCCAGTGTCACCTCCTCAGAGGGGCAGGGCACAAACACTGGGAAATGGCACATCCCTTGCTCCTCCTTATTTTGCTTCACGACATTTCTTACTTTGAATCCCATTATATGTCTATTGGTTCTTCCTTCACTGACCGTCAACCCCACTAAAATGTAATCCCCATGAAGGTGGTGGAGACTGTTTCGTCCTCTGCTCTATCCCTAGTGTCAAGAACTGGTCCTGGCTCAGAGTAGGCGCTCCATCGATATTTCTGGAATGAATAAACCTGTCTCATCCCCTTGAATGGCCGCCTGGAGAAACCCCTTGCGTAGACGGAGGTGGTTTCTTTAGCTATTTATTCCCCTCCCAATGCACACGGAGCTTGTCCCCGGTGTTCCACCACCTTGTTTTATGCAGCCCAGGGAAGCAGATCAACTTGAAAAGGTCCAAGAACTGAAATTCCCAGGACAAAGGACTCGCACATTCTACATGCTGGTGGGATGCACCGAGTTGTCCCACGAAAGGGCAGTGTGGAGGAGGGACTGCCCCATGAAGTGACCACGGCCAGGCCCACCAGCGGATCTGGGCCAGAACAGAGGCTGCTTCCCATGAGTCAGAGACTGTCTCATGGCTGGTGCCCTATCCCCCGAGGGGCGCTGGGTCCTGGGGCTGGCAGGCCTTTGCCCTGCCCCAGGCAAGCCTGCAAGGCAGCCTTTTCCCCTTACCCATCCTGTTGTACATAATTCCTCAGCTTCCACCGCGCAGCTGTTAGGATGTCCACACCCTCCTGCCACCACCCAAGCCACCTCTGGAATACAAGTTCCCGCAATAAAATCTTGACCTAATGATGGAGTCTCCGGCCTCTTTCTTGGGTCTCTCTGCCCCAGGAGATTTTGCAAACGGGCAGTGTGAATTACCCCTCGTCCCCTCCATGGACGACCATGCCCTTCATGTCATCAGCCCCCTGGGGTTGGTTCTGTGTGCGGTGTGAGGCAGGGGAGGGCCCGGGCGTGCTTTTCGCTGAGTGAACAGCCGACTGTCCCAGTAGGTTTTTTTTTTAATATTTTATTTATTTATTTTCAGAGAGGGAAGGGAGGGAGAAAGAGAGAAACATCAATGTGTGGTTGCTGGGGGCCATGGCCTGCAACCCAGGCATGTGCCCTGACTGGGAATTGAACCCGCGATGCTTTGGTTCGCAGCCTGCGCTCAATCCACTGAGCTACGCCAGCCAGGGCCCGACAGTTTTTTATTATTGCCCTTTCCTCATTTATCTGAAATCCTGTGTCTCCTATGCTGAATCCCGCAGCAAGATTTTTCCATTCCATGGGGCCGGTGTGCCTCCCCTGATTCACACTTGCATTACCACATCCCCGTGGTGTGTTTTCACAAGACAAGTGTCTCTCCTCCTCCGTCTCCTCCTCCGACTCTTCAACCGAAGTTTTTCTAGAAGCGGAGTGTACACACGGAAGAGCCCATAAATCATACACGCATGGCCTGCGTTTTGAACCGTCAGATTGAACACATCCATCTAACCTCATCCTTGTTTATACTCCAGGTTTTCTTGGCTATTCTTTTTGTGTTTAATCTAGTGAGATTTAGATTCATTTTGTTGATTTCTAGTAAAAATCTAGGTCGGGTTAAGACTGGCATGGCATTGAATTGTTAACGGGAAGAATTACTGTCTTTACAATATGATGTCATCACCGAAATCACCTTTTTTTTTTTTGCACTGAGAGAAACCTTGGACCATCCACTCCAGCCATGACCAGCCTATGTCCCTGTGGCTTTCCAGCCAAACAATAGTGTGGGCGGGGGGGGGGGGGGAGAAAAATCCCTAAATAATTGGCAAACAAATCTTATGGCCCCTTTCTGTATGGTGGTATTATTTTGTATTCAGTTCTGTTAAGATGATTCTTTCAACAGCAATGTCACGATCTTGCCACCGACTAGAAATCTTGGCTCCGATTTACTCCTGCGGGTGGGCTGGCCTGAAGAAATGGACCTTGATAGGAAGAGTGCCTTGTGCTTACCCTGGTGCTTTATCGTGACGCCTCTGAGCACTGGCCACCGTGGCGTGTGCAGCATTGCGCTGGGGAACTCGTGAGTGCCGCGGCATTTATTCCGCACAGTGTAGGAAGTACGGTCGCCTCCTTCTTCCAAGGAGAAGTGTGACTTCACCGGATTTGGAGTTCAGTGTTGGGTGTGTTTGGCTCTTTCTACACCATTACCT